GGGGGGGGGGGGGGTGGCTCAGGTAAAATTCGCCACAACTAAAGATACGTGTCTCTCTCGTATAGAGGGATGGCATGGTAAATCACACTCTTCTATAATAATCGCACGCAGGGCTGTGCGTTATCGTATGATATATCTATATACATATACGTATCCCCGTACATATATATATATATATAAATATATAATCATACCACACAAAATATATATATATATATACTTCCTGTAAAGACGACGGCGTCCAAAGCCGAGTATCCGTCATCGATGATGTCGCAATGATCCATCCTCGCCGTAACGATCGTCGTCGACAGTTGTCGTTGTAGCTCGGTCACCCTTATCTATTTCGCATATGACGTCATGCGATTCGCTGGAAATGGCACACTTACGCTCTCGCAATTTTCATACACAGACGCATATTCCTAACTATCTATTATCATCATCTCTCCTTTATCTAGATTATCCGTTACAGTCTCAACCCCACTTTTCATGCCAATCGTTCCACTCACGTGCTTTCCAATCTTCGGATCCGATCAGTGCAAGCACAATCCACGCGGGTATTTATAAATTATATAAAACAAAAAGAAAAAAAGGGAAAAACCGAACAGCTCGAGGCAGATACAAATAATAAATAGCTCGGTCAAAGTTCATTGAGCACGATGGAGTTAGGTATCAATATATTAGTGTCCTAAGTGTCAACGGTAATTGCCACTGGTATAATATATACCGTGAAAGCTCGAAGTGCTGGAGCACGCGGAGTCTCGAAGTGACAATAGTCAATTTAAAAGGTGAACGGAGACAAAAATTTATATCAAATCGAAATGCGTCCCTGGTACATTGTCAATGGAGAAAAGCGGGAAATTCAAATTTATGCCAATTAAATTTTACTACAGTCGAGATTTCGTTACTCGAGCACTGTCGTGTTGGTTATGCGTTTGTCAGGTTTGCGAGGAAGACCTGCCGGACATTTTCTCTAATATTAATAGTGTCTGCTACGACGTCGCAATAGTCTTACACGTTACCATCAAACGTGTTATTGTGTATTAAAGAAAACCACACTGGTAAGTGCTACGGCACAGAACACCTGTGTTACAGGACATACTATCTCTCTCTCTCTCTCTCTTTTTCTCTCTCTCTTTTTCTCTCTCTCTTTTCTTTCTTTCTCTCGTTCTCTCTCTCTCTCTCTCTCTCTCTACTCTCTCTCTCTCGTTCAATCATAATTGTCTATATCATTATTATACTCATAAAACATATTCACCCTGCTCGTTCAATTATTAAGTTCGATCATGCCCACACCAAAAGTATCACATCTTAAGATTAATAATCCTTAGACATTACGTTATCATAGCGTTTAAATAATTAAATCGGTTTGAAGTCGCAATTGAATTATTATGCGTGTATAAGAGTAGCAACAGTAGTAATAGCGGTAGTAGCAGTAGTATTACCAGCAATGACAGATTTTTCTAAAAGTAGTACTAGCAGTAGTATGTGATAGTAATAACAGGTAAAATAATCAAGAAAATACCGTAATACTGGGAGATGGCGGCGGAGAACGTGGAGGTGATGAAAAATTATAAGGTTGGTAGTGCGGTATCGATAATTACGAGTGACGTAGTCGCCGTGACCCTAACCGTTTTACGGTATAAGTCCGTTCTCATGAAAACCGTCGGTCAGTCTTGTTGCGTTTGCTAAGACGACACAAGAAGACAGGTATAAAACCGATGACAGGCTAATCAGGACAGTCGGGTCCATAAATAAATATCGGGCTACAAGTTGACCAAAGTTCGTCTAATGGCTGTGTAAAATTCGTACGGTATCCATGAATCGTTTTGAATTGAAGAAACCTTGAAACAAGAGCAAATGAAAAGGAGGCCCGCGCGAACGCAACACGGTGATTGTCGACGTAAATAATTTTTGTTTTTAACTCGCGTGGATGCGCGCGCACGCTTCAGTCGTATGCTGCGTACACAAATATGTATGACGTGTGCTTATCTCGCGTGAGACACCGAGACTAAGTAAAACTTTGAAAAAAAAAAAAAAAAAAAAACTTTTTTCCACGAATTTACAAAATATTTCTGAACGTTATTTATATTACTTGTGAAAGTGGGCAATCAATTTTTTTTTTTTTATTACTTTTTCTTTT